AGAAGGAAGATTAAGCAGTGGTGTCAAGGAGAGTGGCTCTGATGAGAGGCATTTGTTTGTAAATATCTGCAGTTATGATTGGGCCTTGGTGTGTATGTTTTGCAGTCAAGTGTTTTCTCCTTTTCTGAGAACACATGACACCCCATCTCAGGAAAGAAGTAGATCCATAACTTGTCAGTCCTACATCATATCTCCAAACATGGCGGCCACCATTATTTGCCCAGACACCTCACTCATCAGTGTGGAAGAGCAGAAAGATCTGGCACCAGAAAGATGGACTTGAATCCTAGCTCTTTCTTCCATCTACTAATAAGGTAACCTTCCTTCACCCTCCAGTTCCTCGTCTTCAAAGCAGGAATTATAGGAGGATTAGCCATAATAGCTACCATTTATCATACATTTACATCACCACCACTGCTGCTTAGCAGTTTCCATAAATGTTCTCATTTAATCCTCTAACGTCCAGTGAGATCCTTTACCTCTAGCCTGGGAAGGGCTTTCCGCGCACAAAGCCGTCAACGACATTTCAGAGAAAGGGAGTGATTGACGTAAATACGTAACACTTAGATTTAAACTCAAAAGGACTAATGATATGCTTACTATAAAAATTTCAAAACTCCTCAGATCTTTATAGAAAAATAAGCAAAGCTAGAAGTAATTCAGAGAAAAGCAAGTACGGTAACTAAAAAAATTTTAAGTATTTAATATCACTGGTAATCAAGGAAATCAACAAAAAGAATACCACTTTTTGACTATCAAAACCAACAGAAGTTTTTTGGTTTTTTTTTTTTTTCAGTGAAAGTACTCAGTGTTAGCCAGGATATAGTGAATGCCACACCCTTTTACGTTGCTGTTGGGCATGTAAATTGGAACAGCTTTTCTCCAGAGCAATGTGACAAAATGTGTCAGGAGCCTCAACAAATGCTCACACTCAGCTGATCTGGTAATTCCACTTCCAGGAACTTATCCTGAGGAAAGAATCAGACATGTGGGCAGAGATGTATGTAAAAATGCAGACTTCTGTGTTAGTTTTAATTGGCTACAACCCAAATGACTAACAAGAGAAGGTAACTCCATAGGACAGAATGATAAACAGCCATTAAAAATTGTATTTTTAAAGAATCTTAAATGGCATGAGGGAAACTCTCAAAATGAATAAACAATATGATCCCAATTTTATAAAAAGGAAAAAAAATACACACATAAGATAAAAAACTAAAAAGAACTATCCCAAAAATCCCAAAATGTTAGCTGTGATCTGTATCTAAGTGTTTGATTTATGGGTGATGTTTATATTATTTATACTTTTTTTGGTGTATTCAGTGGGATCCAGAGAAAGAGAGAGAGAAGGGAGAGGGGTGAGAGATTGTGTACTACAAAAGAGTCCTCTTCAAGCTGTCCATCACAATATCCAAGTATAAAGGGTTGTAATTAATGTAAATAGAAATATTTTAAGGCCTTCTCTAATATCGATAGCTGTAGTGTACCAAGTACATTAGGAAAGATATACATGGAATCAAGTGTGTGTTCACACATTCACACCTGGGATAGGTATTTTCTTCAAATAAAACCTCTTCCAGGCTAATGTTGGGCACCAGTGTATTGTTAAACATCAGTCATTAACACTCATGTTATCTGCTGCTTTTATTTTTGGATACTCAATTTCACGCAACACTTTTCTGACTATAGAGACTGTTGGGTGCGAATCTCTTTTGTATTCTACATGAATTAAGAAATAGGTTCACTGTGCTAAATCTGCATGGCAGATGCTGGGATTTTGAAACGAATTTATAAAGATGTCAGATGCTATCAAATGGTTCTGTTTTGGCAGAACCATCACAAGTGCCAGCCCCGCATATTCGGGAGGGTAGGTTGCTTTAATTAAAATTTCCGGCAGCACAATTGCAAACGTTTAGTAAAATTAAAAGCATTCTTGCTTCCCCTTACGACCTTATGGTTACTTTCGCGGGGATCCATTCTATGCTAGCTCAGCAGACAATATGATATCAGCATCACCTCTGTAACTATATAAAAGCACTCTTACACTTTGTGGCTGTATCGCACACGCACACACACACACACACACACACACACACATGCACTATGGCTCTTAAGTATGACACGGTTCCATTGGTGCATGCCAGAATGGAGGGCTGTCTGCATAAATAGATACAAATAAAATCACTAAGTGTGAGACTTGATAGAACACTATGGTTTCCATGGATTAAAAAATGTGAAAGAGGGGTGTGTGCCTAGGCAGTACAATTGGTCAAACGTCCGACTGTGGCTCAGGCCATGCTCTCATGGTTCATGAGTTTGAGCCTTTGAGCCCTGCATCGGACTCTGCGCTGACAGTGCAGAGCCTGCTTGGGATTCTCTCTCTCTCTCTCTGTCTCTCTCTCTCTCAAAATAAATAAAGAAAAAATTTTAAATGTGAAAGAAAAGGAGAAGAGAGATGAGCTTTCCTTGAACTAGAAGTTCGCAAATCTATTTAAAGTAAATATCTTGGGGCGCCTGGGTGGCGCAGTCGGTTGAGCGTCCGACTTCAGCCAGGTCACGATCTCGCGGTCCGTGAGTTCGAGCCCCGCG